ATTATTAAAATACACAGTTTCATAAAGAAAAATTCATTTTTAATGCAATTGACATTAAGATATTTGCACATGCATTTCTAATCTCTAAATATAGTTAAAACCTCATTTAATTTTATGTCTTATAGGGTTTATACTGAGTTCAATATTGTATAACTGTAATAATTCATCTGTAAACCTAGAAATTTACAGCCAATTTTGAAAGAGATGCATCTTTGCTTTGGAAATTGTTATTGAACATGTTAATGCTGTAATGAAATGCTTCTTCTAATCATGTGACTATTAAATAAATAAAAAAATTCTTAAAAGTAAATGATCAGGTAATGGAAAAGTGAAAATCCAATCCGTACATAAACTCAACACACCTAATTCCCAAAGAAGATATACATAACAGAAGTTTTTACTTCAACAAGTAGGTTATGCTGATTCACCTTTCAGATTCTTTTTATTTCATCTACTTTCAACTGACTTGGGATTTATTTTTTACTCAAACTCTTTAAATGATTTTTTAAAAATTTCCCAAACCATAGTAAATTATAGATCATATATTCAAATCATTCATAGTTTATGAAAGTTTACTCATTTTATATTTACTTATACTAAATATACTAGGACTGTTGTAATGCTTTAGGAAAAAAAGAAAACCATTTTAATTTAACCCTTACTTATAACTACAGTTACAATAGGAAGAAATGAGAAAGTTCAAAGAACTACAATCAATGTGATTTTGATTTTCATGTATATAGCAGGACCAACTCTGGAGCTCTTCAGAAACAAAATTAAAAAAGAACAAAGAAATCTTGAGATACTTCTGAGACAGTATTTCCAAAGCAATGTCGACATTCAACAAAAACAAAGTAAGAAGTTCACAGCTATTTGTCTCATCAGAATACTAAAGGACATTTCTGAGAGTATTAATGAACAGAACTGGACAGCCAAGAAAAAGTGTTTCCTTAATACAAAGCTCCTTGCAAAGAATTCATTTTAGCACTTTCTAAAGACAAAACAGTTCAAAAGGAAAAGGTATATTTTGTAATTGCTCAGTTTTCTAAGACGCCCAAGGATACCTGTCAAATTTCTACTGAATTCCTGGGCAAGTTCACAAGGACCAACTCCAATGCTCTGTGGGGAGCAGAACCAGGGACTAGGCCTCAGCAGTGGCCAGAGGGGCAGGAGGTTTACTTTAGCTATAGAAAACAGTGAAGGCTTCTCAAGTGGGGGAGTTAAAGATCAGGGGCTTATTTAGAGGAGTTGTGAGATGTTACACTCTATAATAATAGAACAAACTCCCTATTTACCACAGAAAGGTTCTGAAGTAATGCCGTTCAAAAATCAAAACTAGAGGGCTTCTCAAAAATCCCTTCCAGACCCAAAGCAAAACCAATCATCTCCATTCACATCCACCAATACTAATAAGAACTAGAACAGCTTTTTTGCAAAGCAATACCTTTTTGAAATTAGAGGATTTGAAAAAGGCTTCTTATGCAGATTCCATGTGTTTTATGGGATATTTGGGTCTCTCTAAAATCCTTGCTTTTACTGAAATAAAACTCACTTTTCAATTTCTAATTTTTTTTGACAAAGTCCTAATTACAGAAGGGTCCCAAATCACTAAATTGACTTTAGCTGCATGACACTGGAAAGTCACTTCTTGTAAAATGAGAGACTGAAACTAAGATTACTAGAACGTAAACTCCATGGGTCTGTTGGTCCCTCTACTCCCTGCTCCTGGGACAGGGCAAGCACTAATGTTTACTGAATGACAGCAGCATTGCTATCCCCAAATGCTCTATACATTTAATAAATCCAATCCTTATTTTTTGTTTTGTTTTTTTGTTTGTTTGTTTGTTTTTATCAGTGCTAAGGATCAAACCCAGGTTCTCATGTGTGCTAAACATACATTTTATCACTGAGCTGCATCCCTGGCCTCATTTTAAAATTTTTAACCATCAGATTTTATTCTGTATAATCTCAAACATTTTTAAGACAGCCTTGAAAATGAAATTTCCCATGAAGAAAATACAAACATATGTATTTTAAAATAAGGTACTCAGAAATGGCTCAGCAGTTAAGATCACTACTGCTCTTGCTGAGGACCAGGGCTTGGTTCCCAGTACCCATATGGCAGCATCTAACTGTGACTCCAGGTCCAGGGAATCAGACAGCCTCTTCTGGCTTCTGTGGGTACCACATGCATGAGGTGCACATACATACATGCAAGCAAAATATACACACAACACATATAAAAATACAAATAATCTGTTTTAATTCAAACAATTTTTAAAAGGGTAGGTTTTAGAAACATGGGTAAATTATACATAGCTGGCGACTGTCACCCTGTTTTTCATTCTAGTTCTTTCCGTTTGACCTGTTACTGTACCCTGTTTCTTTTTCCTTTGAAAGGGAAGCAGCTGGTTCTATGAGCTGCCTCTAAGACAACTTCCCCTTTGGGGCCTAAAAGGCTGCATCTGTAAAACAGGAGAACTGAACTATTATTATTTTCTTAAGTCTTCTGCTTTTTTTTTTAAAAAAAAGTGTGATTCTGCTTTCAGCTTTTATTCCACCCATTTATGTGGTCCTGAGGCCCTAACTCTGTGCTTACTACATCATTCTAAGACTCACGGCGTAGCCCCCAAATGTGCTTCTTTTCCTCTTTACTTTTCCTTGTTATCCGTACTACTCTCCAATGAATTCAGTCCTAAACAGAGTGAGCAGAGTGAAAGCACACTGGCTTTTGATGCCAGAGATCTGAGTTCAAACTTAGGTTCTGCTACTAACTAATCATATGCCTAAATGGTGGTGTAGTAACTACTTCACTGAGGATTAACAAAATGTATTAAGTACCTAAGACAGAGCCCGATCCCTATTTCCCAGGATCAGAAGGCCAATTTTCCACTACCTATGGCAAAGATGCACAAGCTGCATGGGTAGCATGCATCAAGATTTTTTTTTAAACTCTGAATTAAACATTCTCATCACACTTCTGGTTGTCAGGAAAGAGTGGGCCTGTTCTCTGCAGTATGCTACATGGGTAAAGCAGCCCCAATTACCAGCCCTCTTAAACTCCCAAAAGTAAATGGTGTAGCCTTCTATAGGCCAAAGTTACATGTCACAGGAAATAAGGACTGAACTTTCTTCAAAATAAATGACAAGAGTCTCTAGATTTTAACTGAAAACAAACTCCTCAGCCTGCCATTTGCCTGACAAGAAGCCACTCCAAATTCTTACAACTTAAATGTACATGAAATAAACTAATGCTAACATGCCCCAATATTAAAAGTTATTTTGATTTTCAATCATAGGAAATTAAAGGTGGGACCAGAAAATACAATTCTCATACAATAAGGATACAAGGAACAAACATGTTCAGAAAAAGTGATGGCTTTCTTCTTGATTTCAAAATAGGTCAAAACTGGCATGAACAAGGAGTGGAGAGAGAGGAACTGAGGAGCTCACTCCTTAGACGGACTTAAGTGCAGTCATTTAAAAAATATCCCAAGTTGGAATAAGAGTCTTTCTGTTCATATACTAATCAATGACACAGCTGAGTTACTGGCTAACAGTGGACCGTGGAGCAGGAGCATGAACGCCTGGAAACCAAAGCGATTATTGTGAAAAAGGCACTTCAGCCTCAGCACCTGCTGCAAACACATACAGCACAACAACATTGCTCAGGAAAACTCAGAAGGCTTAGCTTGGAATTTCCCAAATTCATTTCTCTAGCTTAAAAACACAAGCTTATTTACTACTTTGAGATCTCTGCAGTTCTGTGGTCAGGATAGGCAAGACTGCTCTCTTGGACCCTAAAATGCACTATCCAATGAAAGGTACAAAAATTCCTGCCATAGTCTGCCATTTTTCTGCAAAGCAATTAATCATAACCACTGTGGCTTCTGGTTGGTTTTTCCTTTTTTTTCAATAAGCCCGTTTTCTTCTCCCATGTTCCTTGCTCACATTGTAAACTAGAGTGGTCTATTTTCTGTGCTTAAGATGTGACCAATCTAGCTAAAGACACCAGCCTAGAGTCCCTTCTCTAGACCCCTCCACAGTCTCATCTATCTCCCCTGCTCTACTCTACCCGCCGTGTATATCAGCTTTCCTGAGGCCATATAGAATCCCTTGCCCCGATCTAATTTCTCCTCATTTCCTACCCTGTCCATGACCAGTACACCCCTTGCCCAACTAGCACCCAGTTTCAACTTCCAGTGTCTGTGCTCATCACCTCCCAGTCCCTTCCTTTGCTTCCATCCCTGCTCAGGCCTCTCACTTGTTCTTTTCTCAGTCCAATTCCACTAACTTGCCATAGTACCTGACCTTAGTGAAGCCCATCCTCCAATCCTGGACTCATTACTGCTGAGCCTGCTCCTTCACCGTGTATTAATTCTGATCATTCCTGGTCCTGCCCAGGTCCTCCTCATTTTGAACCCTGCTCAATGTCCTCTTTCTACCGGCTGACTTAAACCGCCAAACCCCATTCCTAACCCCCAGCAAAGGCCTCTACTCAGGCCGGTCTATCACACTATTTGACTTTGAACCTGGTGTCTGCCCCAACCCGTCACAGAAAGTGCCACGAGTATCCTAGTCCACGAGGACTCCATTTCTGACACCTGATATTCATGTCCTCCCCATCTCCTAGGCCAGGGGAATATGTCAGCCTACCCCACCATCGTGGATGCTAGCTCGAGACCCTCCTTCCCATCCCCCAGTACCCCTGCCCACCGCATGGACTCAGCAAGAAACCTAGGAGAAGCCGCCACTGTCCACCTCTGCATCCCTAACTCCCATGTGGACAGACTCCTCCCCTAAGACCCTTCTCCCCACTTGACCCCAGTCCGGTGACCCCAGTGCCTGGCTGGCGCCGGGACTCGATTCTCACGGTGCCCGCAATTCCATCACAGCCTCCGCCCAGCCGACCCCTCAGCGAGCCGGGTAGGCTGTGTCTCCTGCCCACCCAACTCCAGCGCAGGGGTCGCTCCCGCGGGGTCAGGGGCAGACTCGCTCACCTCAGCGTCCACCACCTCGTGGTAGGCGGGCGGCGGGTCGAAGCCCCCGCCGCCTCCGGTGCTCCCGCCGCGGGAGGGCCCGCCGCTGTCCCCGCCGCCGTCGCCCCGCGGGCCGCCGCCCGGCCCGGGACTGGGGCCGCCGCCGCTGTCCATGGGCTCGTAGCCGCCGTAGTCTAGGCCGGGCCGCTCGTTGGTGAGCAGCGCCACGGCCTCGTTGATGTCGTTCTTGGCCAGGCGCAGGGCCTTGCGAATAGTGGCCGGGTCCGAGAAGCCCATGCACAGCAGCGTGGTCATGTGCTGCTCCTCCTCCGATTCCATGGCTCGGGCCTCCGGGTTGCGCCGGCCGGCGGGCGGGGAAGCTGGGGTTCCCGGGCCTGGCTGACCGCGCGGCGCTACCTCGGCGCCGGCCCCGCGTCTGGGCGGTCCCCTGCGCTCCTGCCCCGCGCGCTCCGCG